GTCCATGACACTCATTACAAAACTGGAACATCTTTTTACTTTCTTTTTCTCTTTTCAAATATATTTTGTTTCTAAGTTTGATTTCTTTGATCTTCAGTATTTATTTATTTATTTATTTTGTTTGTTTGTTTGTTTGTTTGTTTTTGTTTTGAGCGAAGGTTGTTGAAAAATCCAAAATAACGATGGAGAGGACACCGAGGGAAGGGAAAGAACTGGGTTTTAAGCTCATACATGCCTGGATATGGGAATACGTTCTGAAGCATACAGTGGGAGTGAACATTATACAGGAACTAACGAAGTTATTGCCATTTCCTATAGGTGTTCTTAGATTGAGACAAATGATGCTGATCAAGGACCTTATCCAGCAATTGGGCGATCCAATTCCGAACGAAATTGACGTCGACCTAGCTTTGCAATATCTTGAAGGACTCGAGAATTCGCTTGCCTCTAAACCTGCAGAAGAGTTGGAAGAGTCTGTGCGAGGAGGGCTTTTGCAGCCTGCATTAGAGAGGAAAGATCTCGAGCGACCTCTCTTGGAGCTGAAAAGCGAGCTCCGAACATCGCTTGGCGAGAAGAGAGTGGATGCCCAACAAGCGAAGGTCATCCGAGATGAATTTAGAGCTCTGGCGGCCAAGGCTTGGATTTTATTGGGTCCACTCGTTTTGGAAGAATTTGCAGCATCCACTATTGCTGGGAAGCGGAGCTTGCGAGCCCAATCTTCGGTACGGTCCCCTCATCCAGTGGCCATCCCCGATTCTGAGGATCGCAGCTTCCATGACACACAAGAAACCTTGGTCGACAGGAGGTTCGAGCAGTTGGAAGGAGCACTTCGAGCATCACAAAGTGAGCTACAAAACATTCTGGATGTCAAGATTGCAGAGGTAAAGAGGTCGGTTGTAGTATTGGAAGATGCCCATCACTCGCTGAAGAAGCTAGTGAAGGATCAAGCAGAAGTATGTAAACAGCATGTGCGCTTGAAAAATCCAGGGACTACCTCTCAGTGTTTAGGACTCAGTGTTTTGAACCTGCCTCCTTTGGCACACGCACCAGGTTTGGAAGATGATAACATGTATGAAGATAAAGACAGGCCCTCCTCAAACGCACACTGCTCTCAGCTTTCCTCCGAGTACCCACATCCTAGTAATTCACAAGACCCTTATTCGTCTCCATCACATCCCCTTCTGCTCGACCCGGGCCTCCACAATATCAAAGAAACCGCCCGTGCCCTGGAATCGTCTTGGTCTCCTTCCAAAATCACAGGTAGGGTGGGCTTCATGCATGGAGGGCAGAGGGAGAAGCGGCCTTTTCAGGAGATTGACCTTTGCGGTGAAGTGCTGATTTGCAATTCCGAGCAAACTGTACGTGAATGTAAACACGGTGAGTCTCTTCTTGGGATTGGGTCAGGCTCGACACAAAGACGAACACAAAAGAAATGGTCGAATGAGGAGGTTGAGCTTTTGAAGCGGGGAGTCCAAGAGCATGGGAAAGGACATTGGAAGAAGATTTTGAACGACAATGCAGATGCATTTCATGGGCGCACTGAAGTCGACTTGAAGGACAAATGGAGGAACTTGGAGAAGTACGAGAGGCTGTGAGTTCTTCGGGGTTGCCACACTACTCGTGTAGGTGTGGACTTATACTTGATCAACCAAAAATCCTTCACAGCTGGTTTTCATTACTGTATTTTACATCACTTTCATTCACATGTCAAAGTATTCACATCACTCTCATTCTTGTCTCAATGTGATGTACAAAAATTGAGACTCATGAAAAAGCTCGGGTCCCCACAAACTATTGTGGACATTACTTTGTGTTTGATTTCGGACCTATGCCAGGTTTTTTCTATTTCCTGGTCACATAATCTTTCACTTTTAAATTTTGATTTGTTATGTTTTCATTCATGATTCCTGCAAAACATGGATGAAGCCTTCGGTTGATTGCGGAATCAACCGAAAGTTGGATACCTGGTGAAGAGCAGCTTGAATATCACAACAGAGGGAAATTCAGATGGGTGATTTTCAGGGTTCAGGGTGACAGTTGCGTGTGCCGGTGGCAGTGCTGCCTCAGCGAGTACTCAATCATTGTTTTCCTCGCTCAATTTATCTTTGAGAAGCTCATCTCAGTCACTGGCTCTTTGTTTCTCTTGCAATGTCTTACGGGAGCGCCTTGACATCCAACCAAAGGGGAGTGTTGGGAGATATCATCGTCTTCACAACACAATAAATTAGATGGAGCGTGTGATGAAAACCTGGTTACCAGCATGCTAGGCGGAGATCTACGGGCTCTATTGATTGTTGCAACGATCTCAACTCACTTGGGAGAGGAGCATGAATTGGTTTTGTTGTGCAAAGGTTATGCTTGTAGAGTGGGTAGAAAACCTGGTTTCTGTCGGACATTGGTTAGAGAACCTGGTGAAATAGATGAATCATCCATCGGGCACTGAATTCAGGAGGTAAGATGGATGATTTAGTCGAGAAAAGTGGTTACGTAAGAAATGTTGCTCCGAATCTAAAATGACATCAATTTCTACAACCACCCATATATTCCTCTTGATAGTTGAATATGAACCGTTTGTAATCTCGTCTCCCACAAATCTCCTATTCCACTCACTTGTCTTTCTTCCATCTCATGACACCATATCATATAATACTGCATTGCCTTGACGGACCGCACATATCCACTGACTATGTTCCCATCACTGGATATATATCTTCACACTGATAACACATTCCGAAACTAATCATTTCTTCCACATTCTAAACCTGGACGCATCCAATTCTACCCATCTCTTATATGGATGTCCTTCACTGTTCAACCATTACAGCCAATACGGCACAACATCGTCCCTGACAATTGAACCACACCCATATCTTCGGTCACCGGCTTTCAATCCGCCAAACGGAACTCAATATTCACGAATTCGATTTCTCACTCAACAACATAGAGATTCAATTTCTATTTCCCCTCACAATACTCTTGATCTACGTTTGTTCAACAATCGGAATGGATCCCAATCTCTCGACTCTGGAGTTACCTCAAAAGAAAACAAAACCAAGGAAAGAAAAGAAAAGAAAAAAGAAAAAAGACAAACAAGAGATAGCACCAAGCTTGCCCCGGGCTCTACGCTTTCACAGTTTTTGGGCCCCTTCTACTTCTTTCTTCAACAGGTTCGTACTTACCCCCGGATACCAAACATTACACATCCGATGTTGACTACTTTTTCCTTCCTAATCATCCATCAAACCCTCTAAACTATCCACTCATCAATTTACTGGCTTTTCTTAACCCTACATACAATGTATTGTAAGACACAGAAAAAAAAGAAAAAAAGAAAAAAAGAAAAAAAAAACAACAACAAAAAGGAAATCCTACCCATTATACCTGGCCCCGCTCCCAACTGTGTAGCGTCCTCGCCAACAATGAACTAGTAAAACCTTTTCTAGTGATTTTCCCTACAAATTTTCTACCACTCTGGGTTCGCCGGATTGGTCAACTCCAACATTCACTGGAGGTGGTTCCCCACAGGTTCTGGCTCTAATGATGAGTCCTCATCCTCCTCCGATACTTCCATCGGCTCTCTCCGCGATTAGACTGATAAGTCTTCATCGTACCCTAAACCCAATTCACGAACTTGGGCCTCCAATTGCAGAATCCTGACAACCTGGTTGCTCCCAATTGGTGCTGCTGTTGCCTCACCTTCACCTCCAATTCACCGATTGTTGAAACTGGTGGGGCAGACATCTGTGACCGACCAATACTGGCTGGGTCACTCTCCAATTTTGTAATTGCAGCAGCTTTCCAAGTTCCTATTTCTGCCCGTAACTCTTCCGTTTCAATCCAATATACTGGTCAACCAATATCCCCCCTTTTTCCTATTCCAGTTTGGCTGCCTTCTCTCGTTCTACTTCCAACAGACGCTTCGCCTCTTCTCGTCCCAGAAGCCATGCCCTGCGATTTTGGAGCAATTCTTGCCTTTCGCTTTCCAGTACAGTTCGAGTGTTTTCTTTTTTGTATTGTCCCAGGTGTAGTGGGAATCTGCTTGGTAGCATCATTTTTACGGAGCTCAAGACTTGTCTTTTTTGTGTTGTCCCAAGTTTAGTGGGAATCTGCTTGATAGCATCATTTTCACGGAGCTTGAGACTCGTTCGACCAAGTTTACAGATTTTCCTGTCCCACTTTGATAAGCACTGATAGAACCATAGCCGCGGCTAAACCTGGTTACTCCTTAGTTACCACTATCAAATGTGGCCAGAAGAGAAACTCCATCTTTGTACTGCAACCAACAACTTCATCGACAGTTTCTATTCCCATGGAGGACGCATTGAACAAAGGGCACATATGAGTTCCATGGTGGCAATAATGTCCTTACAGCATCACATTCATTCTTTCCTACACCCTAAACCCTAAACCCTAAACCCTCCTCCTCCCCCCCCTTCTTCCTCCACGTCCAGGCGACGACAAACAAGCAACTAACACTCAGTGCATGTGCTCAGACCGACCCTCTCACTCCCCTCCACACAACGACAGACAAGCAACAAACATTCAGTGCCCGGTGCCCAATCTCACCCTGTACACCGGAAAGAAAGGGAAGAAAATTCGAATGATGCATGGTGGGAGAGGGAGGGAGTGAGACACCGGGGCAAGGAACTGAGACAGGGACTCGCACCCTCACAATGGGAGTGTGGATCGGATGCGACACCAGTTAGCGGACCTCGGAGTGGGTCCCAGTTTCGACACAAGTCCCAGTTCCACGAGTCCCAGGCTTGGTATGAATTCCACTCCCAGCGCGAGTCTCAGTCCTACGAGTCCTAGTCCCGATAAGAGTCCCAGTCCCGGTAAGAGTCCCAGTCCTGCGAGTCCCAGTCTCGGTAAGAGTCCCAGTCCTACGAGTCCCAGTTTTTGCACGAGTTTCGGTCCTGCGAGCCTCGATCCCAGCGCGAGTCTCCCTAGTCCCGTGACTCTCAGTCCCGGCGTGAGTTCCAGTTCGGCACAAGTTTCTAAATTCTAAATTGAAATTTCTTGAATTCCTTCGAACTTCTTGAATTCTTTGTCCCCATAGACCAAATTTGTATTTACTCTTTGGTTTTTTTATTTTTTGATGCTAGACAAATTCTATTTTAAATAATTATAACACTCACGTGAAAAAATATTGGAGTGAAATGCACTTAGTTGCATGTGTAGTGAAGATCCCCGAATGCGAAAGTATTGTGTTCAGACTCACAACCGTAACCAAGTAACGTATTGAGGGCAAGGCGAAGTTGTGATGTGAGGCGAGGCGAGGCGAGGCGAGGTGAGCCAGACTCCAAGCTCGTAAACTTGGTCGCATTGGAGGTGAACCTGTGCTGGATCAAAATTCGGCTGCTCTGTGTTGATCTGTTTTTCTTTCGAAGTGAAGTTGAGGCATTCTTGGGGCGATTTGAATCGATTTTTTATTTTATTTTTATTGTTTTTTGGTTTGTTTTGGTTTGTTTTGTTTGTTTTCTAAAGTGAGTAACTGTGCTCCTTCGTTGTGTTTGAGGTTGAAGTAGGAGCTTCAAGGAGAGGGACGTTACATCGCTTCGTATGTTCCTTATTAGGTCAACTCTTGTCTACTCCACCACCTGCATAACATGTAAAACGTTGTCCAAAACTCTACATGCTTCCATGTTTGTGTGGTGCATGGTTCCCAATTTAATTGTTTCATGGATTGTTGAAACCTGGTTTAGGATTGAATTTGTTTTGGGATGGAATTAGAAGATTTGACAACTTTTTGGCTCAATGAACATGGGGTTTGTTTTAAGCCTCCTCATGGTTCTTGTTTTTCATTCACTGCTGCAGTCCCTAAACCTCGTACATTGCATAAAGGAATCGGCCAACGTAATGACAGGGACGGAGCGGTGGGACGGAGCGTGCTGGTCCACAGGCCGTTGAGGTATTCAATTTCTTACAATTTATTTTGCTCTAAACCTTGGTCGCAGCGGCATGTTTGGGAGATGCTCTGCACATTACATCGAGGTCTTGTAGGTATTAATGTAATAAGTTTTTGTACTCACGTTGAACTCGTTTGTGCAGGTTGCGGTGTTGAAGTTCGAGCAAGTTCGAGCATCGGAGTGGTAAGGGCTGCAATCATGGTCCTCCTTGCGAGTAGCATGTTTACAAGTACGTCTCGAGCTCATACCATTGTGATTTCACTCTTGGGATGTGATTACTAGTGTCGCAATTACCTTTCTGCATTTCTTATTTTCATCATTCAAATGTGATTAGGGCTTGTCTCCTAAACCTCCATGGTTGGCGCGGGTTCTTTCTCCAGCACTCTTGGTGGCAGCCATGGTGTTGGTCGTGTATATTGCACAGGTCGACAAGGCGACTACTACGTCATGGTGAGTCACCTATTGAATTGTTGTAGTCCAAGCAGACCTTTAGTTTTCATGTAGTCGTCTTCTTTTCAAACTTGACTCATGATTTATTTATTTATTTATGTATTTATTTATTTATTTTAATCCGATTTTGACTTCGTTCACATGCTATAGGTCATGGATATGCTCGGGCCAAGTCTCCGGGATGTCTAGAACTCTTCGAGGTCAAGCGCAAGTATTTAGGGCAGCTCGTTCTGATTGAGCAGGTATGCACATGGAGACGTGAAGCCCGAGAACTTTCTCCTGGGACAACCCAATACACCTGAAGAGAAGAAGCTTTTTCATGTACATCTCGAGCTTGGTGAGTTTTCAGTATCGTTGTGCTGCAATTCGTTCTCTGTTCACACATTAGCAACCTCCTTTGCTCCAATTTGGCATTACATTTTTTTTTTTTTTTTTTTTTTTTTTTAAACATCTGTTAACTGTTATATGAAGAGCATCTAGACTGAGAATTGGATGAGTTTATTACCGCTACGTCCATGCACAAGTCAATTTCACACCAAGATTAACGTCTTTCTCTCATATATGCAGCTACTCGATGGAGGGATGGTACAACCGGTCAGCATGTAGAATATGACCAAAGGCCCGATGTGTTCCGGAGAGGCTCTCCCCCCCCCCCTTGTCCTGATCTGTAGTTGCCATTCCTGTTTTGGCGGTTGGGAGCGACTGTTTTGCTTTTGAGCTATATTTTGATTCTGTGTAATTTTCGTACATGCAGTGGAACTGTTCGCTATGCGAGTGTGCATGCACATATGGGAAGGACTGGGAGTAGGAAGGACGACTTGGGATCACTGGCTTATACTTTGGTATTCCTTATGCGGGGTAGTCTTCCTTGGCAAGGTTATCAGGTACTGATCAACTTTGTAGCTAGTAGCTAATGAAGAAGTGATCAATGCGATATATATATATATATATATATATATATATATATATATATTTATTTATTTATTTTTTCTTCCTTCCTTCCTTCCTTCTCATTATTTTTTATTTGGACATGCTCTATATATTTGGTTTTGTAGGGCGACAACAAAGGTTTTCTGGTGTGGAAGAAGAAAATGGCAACTTCTCCCGAAATGCTGTGCTATTTCTGCCCGGTTCCGTTTTTAAACAGACGTTTTGGAGATGGTCGCAAATATGAAGTTCGATGAAGAGCCAAACCACGGCAAGCTCGTTCTACTCTTCGATTCCATCTTGGGTCCTAATCCTACTGTGAGACCCATAAACACAGACGGTGTTGAAAAGGTACATTCTATGACTTTCTTTTGCTTCGTTTTTCCTGTCCCTACATTGAGGATTCTTTTTTTGAACCTACTCTTCATTTGATCATCATATTAATAAAGCCTTTTGTTTCTAGTGTTCCATACAGGTTGGTCAGAAGAGAGGGCGAATCAGATGTTGAAGAAGATGAGGATGACCAACCTAAGAAAAAGATCCAGTTAGGAATGCCCGCAACTCAATGGATTACAACGTTTACAACGCTCGGTGGCCAAATGAAGCAGAGGTAAGGCGGTGCGAGCTTTCGTCATTGATGTGGTGTGATGTTGCTTAGTTAGGCATGAGCCCAGTCATGTGTGTATCGTCGATTTTGACTTTGTCCTCCTGGATGTCGATCAGCTATTCCGATTTCTACAACATGCGTTTACTTTCAGCAAGCAGCCTGGATTCGGACAGACCCATTTATTGAACTTTCATTCCTACATTTGTTTCGACGTGCAGGTATCACTACGATGCAGTTGATTCCCGGCTTACGGAGCACGTGGAAAAGGGTAATGAAGACAGTCTGTATATAAGCAGTGTGGCTTCTTGTACAAATCTATGGGCTCTTGTTATGGATACAAGGACAAGATTTACTGCTCAAGTTCATGAGCTGTCGCATGTATTCGCCGTCCTCGAATGCATGTGGGTTTATTTAGAAATATATTTTGTGCAAGATTTTGCCTGCAATCTCTTGGAAGATAGTACAGGTTTTTTTTTCTTTTTTTCTTTTTTTTGTGTTGTTGTTGTTATTGTTGTTGTTGTTGGGATTTTAGTGTTGATGGAGAATGTGGACTTTTAGTTCATTTCTAGGTTTTCAAGTTTTGTATGACACATTTGTTTTATATATTTTGTTGCTTTGTTCGGGCTGTTGGTCCATTTTGTGTATTTGGCTTTGTTTGTATCTTTTTGTTTTGTGTTGTATAGAATGTGTCGGTTATTTGTGAAGGGGTGCTGCTTCCCTTGGCTCACATGAAATGATGAAAGCTATTGCATTCTGAGGTATGCAGCAGCCAATAATCTTGAATTGTGGCGTTGAGAATGAGTGGAGGCATGAAAGCAATTGTGAACTGAGCTTCACAATTTGTGAGTGTTGCAAAACCTCTAATCCCTAAAACCCTAAAATCCTAAACCAGGTTTACCTAGTCCAGTCAAAGATGAAGTTGTGATGTAAGGCGAGGTGAGCCAGACTCCAAGCTCGAACTCCAAGCATTGGAGGTGATCCTGTGCTGGATCAAAATTCGGCTGCCCTGTGTTGATCTGTTTTTTCTTTCGAAGTGAAGTTGAGGCATTCTTGGGGCGATTTGCATTGTTTTTGTTTTTTGTTTTTTATTATTTTTGTTTCTGTTTTATTTATTTATTTTTTGTGTGTGTGTGTGTGTGTTTTCTACAATGAGTGATTGTGTTCCTTTGTTGTGTTTTAGGTTGAAATAGGAGCTTGAGACAAAGGGACGTTACATCGCTTCGCATGTTCTTTATTAGGTCAATTCTTGTCTACTCCACCACCTGCATAACATGTCAACCTGTGTCTAAAACTCTACATGCTTCCATGTGTGTGTGTGTGTGTGTGTGTGTGTGTGTATGGTTCCCAATTGGCGGAGGTTGACGGATTATATACTAGGCTCAATGAGATGACCAAGGTTGAACAGATGTCATACCATACGATTCTATGATTACACCCGATGTAATCTATTCTAATGTAGTCCGGCCAACATGAGAATCAAGTCCTCCCACTAGAACTCCAATTGATTTCCATAACTCGACTCTGTAGAAAACCATATCCCGGTGAAAAAGTTTCTAGTCTAATATCATGGAGATGGAAAATAATCATAAAACGGAAAGCATCCACCTGCATGCATGACATGCAACGAAGGAAGATGCTGCATGTTTCTCACACCGAACACAAGAAAGGATGACACAATTTGTAACCTTCGAAATGTGAGTCAGGACAGCTGAGGGTCGGGGTCTTGTCGATGAGGTGCTTGGAGATAGCGCAATGGGTGGGATGTATCAGAGGAGCCACAACTTGAGGGGCAGGAAGAGCGCGCAGTTGCACGCATTCAATAATTTCTTTTTGTGCCCGTCGAGCTTGCTGGTGTCGAGGGGTGAGTTCTCAGGATTTTCGATGCTGGATAAGGAATCGTTGATTGAGGCGGGGAGCGGGAAGCGAGAAGTGGAGCGGGTGAAGCGGCCCTACGAGGGTTGAGCTTGAGGTCGGCGTCATCGCTGGAAGCCGGGGAATTGTCACTGGGGTCACCGACACTTTTTCATGCACTATTCAATAAGTTTCTGCCGTCGAACAACAAGGACGAGGAGGCATAGCCGGTGGTGGACATATATGGATCGAACAGTTGTGGATGTTTGAATTCAAGGTAAAGCGATGGACGAGGGGGAGGATCCATGATTGAACGGAGTGCCCGTTTGTCCACCCAGGCGACAAAGCTAAGCATTGCGATCCGCGGCAGTACCACTACTCGGGGACGGCATACTTGGACTTTTGGAAGGAAAGCTCTCGGAGAGGCGATGCATGCAAGTTCATGCACAGAGTGTTCGAGTGTTGGCTGCATCCGGCTCGATACTAGATGCAACCGTACAAAGATGCGCAAAATTATCGTCGTTTGGGTGTGTGTTTTTTGCACACACGCTGAAGTAGCTCCGGTTGCTACATGCAACGGCACAAGCAGTGACGACGGGACGTCGAAGCGGAGGAGGTTATGATGGGTCGCCGCGAGCTAGAGCAGCGGCGTGCTATGATGGGGCATTTGGATATGAGAGCTTGTCTTACGACGTAGCATCGGTAGGTCACGATCCGAGCCACTTGTCGAGGTACTCGAGCTCGGCCAACTCGGGTGCAGGGTATGTGACATCGCAGAATTCATCGCCCAGGTCGACGGTAGTCAAGTACAAGCAATACGCTGTGTTGTTGAGCCCTCCGTTGTCTCCCTCGAAGTCGCCTCCGCCATCGCCTGGGTCGGTTGAGGAATGGGGGCAAATGCGGGGTCATTTGCAAGCAAGTCGATGTCATGAGGGTAACGTGGGATGTTGCAAGCGACGCTACAGCAAGCGGCGCAAGCTCAGGGGCTAGGGGACAAAGTAGATGTCGGTGGTGTCGGCACATCGGCGACATTTGGAACATTTGAACTTGATGCCAACGCTGATAATACTCAGAGCAGGTTCAATTGGAATCGGCTGCCGAGAGCAGGTCCAGTTGGAATTGGCTGCCAAGAGCAGGTTCAATTGGAATCAGCTGCCAAGAGCAGGTCCAGTTGGAATTGGCTGCCAAGAGCAGGTTCAATTGGAATCGGCTGCCGAGAGCAAGTCTAGTCGGAATGGTTTGCCAAGAGCAAGTTCAATTGGAATCGGGTGTCGAGAGTAGGTCTTGTTGGAATCGGCTGCCAAGAGCAGGTCCAGTTGGAATTGGCTGCCAAGAGCAGGTTCGATTGGAATTGGCTACCAAGAGCAGATTCAATTGGAATCGGCTGCCAATAGCAAGTTCAGTTGGAATTGGCTGCCAAGAGCAGGTTCAATTGGAATCGGCTGCCAAGAGCAGGTCTAGTTGGAATTGGCTGCCAAGAGCAGGTTCAATTGGAATCGGCTGCCAAGAGCAGGTCTAGTTGGAATTATCTGCCAAGAGCAAGTTCAATTGGAATCGGGTGCCGAGAGTAGGTTTTGTAGGAATTGGCTGCTAAGAGCAGGTTCAATTGGAATCGGCTGCCAAGAACAGGTCCAGTTGGAATTGGCTGCCAAGAGCAGGTTCAATTGGAATCGGCTGCCAAGAGCAGGTCCAGTTGGAATTGGCTTCCATGAGCAGGTTCAATTGGAATCGGCTGCCAAGAGCAGGTCCAGTTGGAATTGGCTTCAAAGAGCAGGTTCAATTGGAATCGGCTGCCAACAGCTCAATGCATGTC